GAACCTGGGTTTCCCAGATCCTAGTCAGACACTCTAATCACTACTTTGCTTATATGTGCTTATTCTCCGGTGGTCCAGGAGTGGGGCATTCCTTCGGACTCCTTTACTCCTAGGAAGCTCCTCCCCTCTCCAAAGGCAGGACCGGTAGACTCTTTAGGCATGGAAGGGGAGGGGCTTGTCCCCTGGAAACCCAGTCTCTCTCCTGCCCTGCTTCTGAGCAGGACATGGTAAACTGTGCTCCTTGAGAGCACATTGTTGGCAAGAAAAGAAGAAAGAAGAGATTTCGTCAGGAAAAGGGCAGGAACAGGTAGAAGAAGAAGAAGAGGAAGCGATTGGATTTATACCCTGCCCTTCACTACCCAAAGGAGTCTCAGAGCGGCTTACAAACTCCTTTCCCTTCTTTATACTCCTAAAGAACAAGAGAAGGAGGATGCTATTTTCCCTGCAGGTTCAGAGAGAACCATGCCTAAACCTAGTACTAAGGCAGTAGGCAATGGCATCCCACTACCAGCAGCCTTCTATAAGGTTATGAAGGCAGAATGGGAACATCCAGCCAAACCAAAAGCTTCTAACCCAGCTTTGGAGTAGAACTGTGCTCTGCAGCCTGGCTGAGCACAAAATAAGGAAGAGAAGGAGGAGGACTCTGATGGCAGCAGCCACACAAGCAGCCACTTCAGTGATTCAGACTTCGGCACGGGTGTGGCTGGAGGCAGCAGAGCCCACCGGGCAGCACACAGTGAATGGCACAATGGATCGTGTCAGCAAGCTGGGATGGGCTCAGCCTTGGCCACCACCATGGATGGGCTACTTCTTCAGCTGCCTTGATCTGCCTCAAGGCACAGACTCCAGCAAGCTCAAGGTTTGGATGAAAGATGAGGTGTACCAATGGGAACTGGAACAAGTGGAGCAGGGTCTGGGGGGCAGCTGGCTGGAGGCCGGGAGCCCTGAAGCTGCTAGTTGTAGGAACCTACCTCTCTTCTAGCTGGTACTGCAGTTCCACTTGCATGCAAACCAGCTTATTTATGACTAGGGGAATGCTGTCCACTGCCTCTCAACTCTGTGTTATTTTTTACCATAGAGACTTGGAGAGAAAAGTCATAGTGTCACCACCATTTTCTTCCACTGTTTACTAGCTCATTGTCAGGAAGGACAGGATTTTAGTGGGAGGTTGCCTGCCATAGCCAAGCAAATGGCAAACCTGTTTACATTGCTGAAGTACACTGTACTAAAATGACCTAAAAACTGAAATAAACTGGTATTGAAAATTTATGTCAGTAATATACTGAAAAAAAATGTTAGTGTAGGCAGTAAATCCAAACTTCTGGAAAAATATTGCCAGTACAGAACAATTTTTTTTTAATGAACACTTTGTCATTCAACAACATTTGGTTGGTCAGAAAACAAGGCAAGAAACATTTAGCCTGATGATATAGTTAGCTACTGTTAGTGCTGCTGTACATTCTAAAGAAAATAATTTGAAAAATCACCTTATGGTCAAGGAGTTTCAGATAACAAAATTATAATTCCTCAGCTTTCACCAGCTTTGTAATGGAGCTTTTACCTGTGATCCATGTCACAGAGCTTTTAAAGCATAAGGCTTTCATTGTTGTATTGTGAAACAGGTCCTTACTTCATTCATAGTTAAAAAAATTTATAAGCTCCCATTATCAGATCTTTCTGATGGGGCTACAGTTTAGAGTTTTTTATCTTAAATGTTTCATTTTAAGAAGATGACAGCTTATATCACTGTTTAAATTAATATCATTGGTTAAAATTAGATAAGCATATGGAGCAGAGGTCCATCAGTGGCTATTAGCCATAAGGTATAGATAGGAACTCTCAGTCTGGGGCAAGTGATGCTCTGTATTCTTGGTGCTGGGGGGGGGGAGCAACAGTGGGAGGGCTTCTAGTGTCCTGGCCCCACTGCTGGACCTCCTGATGGCACCTGTTATTTTCGGCCACTGTGTGACAGAGTGTTGGACTAGATGGGCCATTGGCCTGATCCAACATTGGCTTCTCTTATGTTCTTACGAGAACAATGGGGAGCATAGGAGAGGTATACCTAGGGTTGCCAGTCTTCAAGTGGTATCTGGAGATCTTCCAGAATTACAACTGGTCTCCAGGTTATATTCATTCCCCTGAAAAAAATGGCTCCTTTTGAAGGTGGAATATTGGCTTCTCTTATGTTCTTAGGCCACTGCTTCTAAGTGTCATTTCAACCATCTGGGGTGTGGGGTATGGATCTTCTATATATGGGTGTTGCAAGTATTGTTGAGATAATATGTGTAAAGTGCTTTGAACACCCTAAAGCTATATGTGAGTGCTAAGTATGAACCCCGGCCTCCCAGCCAAATCTTTCTGCAATTCCATACATAGTCTTGCTACATTATTAAAGCCTTTTTTTCTCCTCCCTGTTTAAGAATTTATGTATGTACCTATATATCCATCTGCTTAGATGCTTTGCTCACTTCTACTAATTTCTTCTAGCAGCAGCCAGATCTTGATAGTTCACAACCTTTAACTAAATATTTCAAATGAATGCACGCTCACACATGTGCATTAAGTTCATACACTTAAAAAAAAAATTCATTGGAATCCTAGGGAGATTTGTCTTGTACCAGGACAGCAAGAAAATGAAATGACATGAAATGTGGCAAGTGTGTTGGTCTGAGTGGAGATACAGCACTCTGCAGAGGTACAACCTACCACGCAGCTACTGCAGCATTAATTTAGCTAGGCTGCCAGAGCACATTATCCCACATAGTCACAGCACAAAAACTAACACCAAAGTAAATTATCTTCATTCATTCATTCATTCATTCATTCATTCATTCATTCATTCATTCAAGAGGACTCTGAGATACCTGCTGAATGCATAAAAGCTCTCTTCATTCTTCCCTTCCAGGCACTGCAGTGTGTGTGTGAGCATATACCAATTATTCCAATGGCAGTTTACCAAAAGGGAAACATTTAGTGGAAACATGCATACACACCGAGAGGCAATAAATTCTCAACCTCAAGTATTTGTTCTGGTTTTTTAACCAAACATAACCTTGACTGCCTTTCATTTCTTGGTTAGGTGTATTGTTCATTTAAAAAGGTATTATAGCAGATTTCTTTTAAGCTATAAAAAGTAATGCATCTCTTCAGTTAGTAATTATCTGCCCATAGATCTCTATTATGCTGGATTAATTAAGTTATTCAGGAAGATATTGTAAGTGGAATTGTAGTTTGGCTGCCTAGCAACTTCTACAAAACATTACAGAAAGTATCATATAGCTAAGAAAAATACCCCCTTATGAATATAGGCTTGGATCCAAATAACATGCAAACCCAGTTTCCCACTTCCCCTTTCTGCTACAGCTCTTTGTACCTCCTGAACAGCAGCTCCTGAGAAATGGGAGGATGCTTTGTAGCATGTGTTGTGGTGTGTAGGGTAGCAGCTGACATCGGAATTAGCAGAAATACCTCCTTTGCATTAAGGAGCAAAAGTCTTATTTTGGGGATCCAAAGTCATGGTCAAGAGGGCATACAAGAGATCCTATGGGGTCTTTGCTTTGGAAGTGGCTACAGATTTTAATGCTGGTTTAATTTAGTATTATTTCTGCTGTGTACCAAGCAAAGCAGATACCTAATGTTGATGGATATATTAATCAATTCCAGTGGTGTGTTTGGATTGCAGAAGCTTCATTGCATACATATTGCTTGGCTGTCTGAAGCAGCTACGTCATTTATGTATGATTATAGATCATTTCATTGAAACACATGGATCCTCACATGTGCAACAGAGCTGTGTATGATGTTGAGTGCTCCAGGATCTCTGGATGAAGGCAGTTTCCTTTCCACATATATAACTTATAGACTGTTCTTTCATGCACAGTTCTCAAAATATTTATTTTTCAGTACACAGTGCTTTTTGGACTTAAAGAATAGAGACACCTTTAGATGATGCTGACTAAGTAGGGGTTAATTAAGAGATCTTTGTGAGAATTTAAATTCAATAAGCAAGACCCAGGTTCACATTTTTCCTGTCATGAAACTCACTGAGTGATGCTGGAAAGTCTTTCAGCTTTATTTACCTCATAGAGTTGTTGGGAGAATAACAGGGGGTATGAGAACAGTTCATGTCATCCTGAGCTCTGTGGAAGAAGGGTAGAATAAAAATCAAGCTAAAGAGTAAGGCCATAATCCTTCATTCACTTGTTTGGGAGCAAGTCCCCTTGAGGTCAGTAGTCCCTATTTAGCAAGGAAATATATAGTCTGCCTTCAAAATCTTGAATTAATGTTTCCTAAACGTGGCATTAGTAGCAGTATAAATACTGGGCCAATCGAATGGTCCTGTTCAGGCAAAAGTAATGGGAAAAAACGAACCTGTTTTAAAGATGAGTACCTAGGGAGGAATAAAAATGACATTGTGTGCTGTGCAGCTGGTTTGGAGATGAAGACAGGCAAATCTGGAAAACGAATTTCCTTTTGTCTTCTCTAGCAAATTTTTAATTTCTTCCAGTCATGGCCCATGCATTCTAAAATAAATAGCTTTAATAAAAAATGGATCCAACAAACATGGTGAGTGGGGTTGAGCCACAAGTTGCAATGTAGTGTATTCTTTTATGTGCTCAGGATCCAGAATTCTGGGTTCAAGTCTTCCAATGTTCAAGTCCCAAACACAAAGATTGCCATTGGAATGAATTGTGCAATTATATTAATTTATTGTAAATGAATCCATATGACATGTTTAAGATATATAGGAAAATCTGAATGTTTGCCAAGAGGTTAGTGAAAGTGGGAAGTAAGCCTGAAATGAGTGTGTTGCAGTAGTAGGGAAGAGACTAAAAAGTCACGGAGCAATACAGGTAGTTGCAGTGGTCACTTATCACTTCCTGCACTCATTCTTCTGTCTGTTGCAATCCAGGAACAAATGACTTACAATAGAGCTGTATTATCAAGAGAGATAATGTATTGTTTTTAATTTTTATTCCCCCTTCCCCTTACTGTGGCAGCTAAACCCAGAAGAGACTCTCTACTTAATAGTTCAGATATTACTGATATTGCACCAAGCAGAAAGAGAAGACAACGGACCCAAGAATCTGCATGTGTGGAACCAAAGATGGCATCATATAAGGATCGAATTTCAGCAAAGGAAAGGTTAGAACCATTTTAATATTTACATCAGCAGCCTGAGCTATCATTTTCTTCATAGTTCATACTAGTATAGGCTTCATTTTATTAGCTTTCTTTCTTTGTGTAGTTGTAAATATTTATGAAAACTGAGCTCTTCCTAATAGGTAATCAGATCCTAGTGACCTGTCATTAAAGCCAATTATTGCTTATCCTTTTGCCAGTAGCAGTAGTAAATATGATTATTAACCCCCCTAATTCTATCCCTTAACTTTCTAATGGCCAACAACGCTCTTTTCCCTCTGTAAAACAATATCTCTAAACCCATCTTTGTTGTTGTATGAATTGTATGCAGCTTCTCTTCTTTCTAAGGATTTGGTGACCAAATGTGGATTTAATACTTCAATTCTGTAATTAGGCCAAGTACAGAGTAGAACTATACTATTATAACTCAGTGATTCTGTGCAGAGAAATCTTCATTTTCGTTTTTTTAAAAAACTTATAATGATGCCACTGATTGTTTGATCCTAAAGACCAGGAGCTCTCTGTGATCCCGGGTGCAAGAAGAGGGCAGAGATTGTCCATGCTACATTGCCTTTGCATTTTCAGAGTGCTCACCCCACATCTGATAAATGGATGTATTTGTACACCCATCTTGTGTAATTGCTTTAAAGGTAGTTTGTTTTGAACCACATCCATATATTTAATAGTCAAGAGCAATGCTCCCTCTAAGCTGTGGAGTCTTGTGAGCAAAAATTCTACTTTGTGAGCTTCTGGCATTAAAGTTGTGAGCGAGCAATTTGGCTACTCCATAAATTAGTTTGCTCTGGACCCATCCTTCCCGATCTAAGACAAAAATGTGTGAGCTGGAGGCTAAATAAACTGTGAGCTAGCTCACACTAACTCATCTTAAAGAGAACACTGGTCAAGAGATTCCTCCCACAATGGAGCAAAAATCCACACAATGGAACTAGCCAGGATTAGGACATAAATTCTATAAATGGGGTGGAATCCCTCAAATCTGCATATAAATCTCTTTGGGTTGTCACAGTAAGCCAAAATGGCACCTGATGTTGTGGGAGTCACTGTGGTTACTCCCAGAGGGGCAAATGAGAGCAAGTGAGGGAGGGGGGAAGCAGTACAGAGCCATCAGGGTTGGAGACAGGGAAGAAATGCAAAGCTGAAGGCAGTGGAGAGGGGGCTAGAAAGTGGGGGGGGGGAGCAGGATCCATAGCCAGCAGGGGGCAAGAGAATGGGTAGGGTTGGGGAAAGCAAGACCTGTAAAAGAAAGGAATGGCGACAATATACGAATGGGAGCTAGTGTAGGAAAAGAGTGGCATTTCCCCTTCACAGTGGGTTATCCTGTTGTCCAGACTAGAACAATCATAGATTTAACCAATTCATTTTGATGGAAGGAAGTATCTTCAGTAGATGGACTCAAATCAAGATAATTGCTTGATTCATTCATAACGACAAACCATGGTTATATTATGTGATTGAGCTTTGGGTATCTTTGGATTCCCATAGTCCTTTCTCTCCTTTCTCCCTCCCCCCCTACCTATCTTCACATATGGCTTGAAAACTAACCAGTTCATTTTGAGTCTAAATCACAGAGTTTTAATTGATATGAATCACAAATGGTGGCTTGTTCTATCTCCCCCCCCCCATATCATAACTTCAACCATAACATAATCCTAGCTTGGAGAGAAGAAAACAATACCATAGTTTGTCGTTTTGGTGAAATGAACTCGATAGTTTGTTGTAAAAGCTGAAACGTTTAATTTTTGAGTTGTGAGCACAGGAGGGAGGGGAAGAAATGCACCAGCTGGTTTTTTCACTTAATGACAAGCTGTGGTTTGTCATTGTGCTTCAGCTATAAAGCCAAGATATGATGAAGTAATACTAAGCTTTTGCTGTGCATCATCACTTTACGTATAGCTCAGATCAGATGTCTTTAAAGTAATCCATATTGTACTATAGGACTTTTTTATTATGGCCTTTATACTACAAGCTACCACACCTTGTACTTTTCATGTTGTTTACTTGCTTACAATGTCACTTCCTTGACTTAATTCTAGTATTTTTCAGGAGCAAAGAAAACATGGAAAAAATGGCAATTACTTCTAAACAGGGAATAATCAAATGTATTAGTAACATTAACAATATCATTTTGCTGTTCATAAGTTCATATTTACATTCTAGTTCAAACCACATAGCACACAATAAATAAAATTAACATTTGAAGATAAAGTACTAGGTATATAATATAAGAGCTGCGGTGGCTCAAGTGGTTAAGACGCTGAACTGCAGGCTGTGGAAGTTCAGCAGTTCGAGACCCGAGTTGCCGCATGACGGAGTGACCTCCCGTCTCTAGTTCCAGCTCCTGCCAACCTAGCAGTTCAAAAGCAAGAAATTGCAAGTAGATAAATAGGTACCACTTCAGTGGGTAGGTAACAGAGTTCCGTGCGCCTTGGTGTTAAGTTATGCCGGCCACATGACCACGGAAACGTCTTCGGACAGCGCTGGCTCTTCGGCTTTGAAACGGAGATGAGCACCACAACCCTAGAGTCGGACTCGACTGGCTTTCGAGCAAGGGAACCTTTACCTTTTTATATAATATAAACAGTCAGTTGAGTTCTTGACTGAAATCCTGTACGCATTTAAGCTATTTAAATCCAGTTGAAGGTAGGAATGTTTTAAGCAGTTCAGAAGACCATAGCCTGTTGGAAGGTGGTATTTTAAATAAACTGACTTGTATTGAGAAAATGTTATTAAACTGTCTGTGGAATGGAATCGAAACATGTTTTGAGCTTCTGAAAAGAGCTGGCATTAATACCTAAAAATCAATATTTCATGATATAAGGTAAATTAATTTTTAAAACACTGTTTAACTGTAATTTGTGTTATTCCGCAAATAATGAACTGTTTTATAGGGAAGTGGGAACAAACAATTTACCCCCAAACATCACTTAGTCTTTACTGCTGCAAATCATATGAGAGATGTCAAGTGCTTAAGGGGATGAAATTGCTGTTTTTATGCTAAGGGTTCATTCAAACAAAATACACATAATACATTCTGCTTTCACTATACCTTCTGCATTGGTGACTTGTTTACAGACATCACGGCACAACTCTGAATAGAGTAATAGTGGCTAGGCAGCATTTTCTTGTGTTGTCCTGCATATTCAGCAAGAAAACAATTCATACATATCATGTTATGTCCAGTAGCCTCTTTTGCTACATAAGTAAGGCTAGAGTGCTAGCTGGAGACACAAGTCCTGGATGTGGGGTTAAAATAGTCTTGAGGGAGAGCTTGAGAAGCCGTGAAGCTTTTTGAGATCACAGCTCTGGCCTTTGTTACTTTATCCCCCTTTATTAATAAATCAGGAACCTTGGAATTAAGCTTGAACTTTACACGCAACCTCAAAAAGCCCTTTTAAGTGCCGATAAATATACAGGATTACTTAGCTACAGCAGAGGGTTTTTGGTCTGTTTTACAGGGTCATGACTCATAGTGCATCTGGATCTGAGAGTCAGTGTGGTCCAGTGAATTGTTTGTTAGATATGGACCCAAGAAACCTAGGTCCAAATCTCAGCTCTGTCCTGGACTGTCTGGGTGGTCTTGGGCAAATGGCTCTCAAGATCAGTTCCCCATCTGTAAAACTGAACCCTAAGGATTGCATTTTTATGCTGCAAAAATATTTTGTCTACTGAAATCTTTAGATGAATATGCCTTAGTCTGTGACATAGGAGAGTTTTATTCCCCCCCCCCCCCCAGTTCTAATTCTTGCCGCTTGAATGAATGTTGCGAATCAGGAAGATAGCAGTCTTCTGTGCCCGCTGAGACTTCTGAAGTGCTGCTGTTCAGACAGGCAAAGCTGTGGGGGAACTTGGTCAAATAATATGATCAAGGAGCTGTTGTTGAAACTGCTGACCATTGTTTTTGTCTTTATCTCTCGCTCCTTAGCAGGTACGTTTAGCTGTGCCCACCAATTTCGAAGGGATGTTAGCCACTAAAGAAAGAGTTATATAATAAACAATAGACAAAGAAAGCTAGTAAGCGACTTCTCCTTCCCACATGTGTGACTGCTGTTCACTCCAGCTTTCTATGCTTTGTAGGCAGGGAAGCCTTCAAAATGGCACTAATCCTATTTAAGATTTTGTTATATTGTACAGTGGTTTTCTCACATGAAGTTGCAGAATTTTAAGGCCTGCACATAGCCAGTGAGGCGTCATTGGAATGTTGGACTTGGACTGAGGAAACCTGGGCTTCAATCCTCATTCTTTCACAAAGGTTAATGGAAGACTTTGTGTCAGTCATTTGTTTTTAGTCTGTCCTCAATTACAATTGTCCTCAATAGTCTGCCCTCTATTACAACTTTTATACATGGTTTTATTTTATCTTGTGCAGGTACACAAGATAAAATACAACCATGTATAAAAGTTGTAATAGATACCCTTTCAATGGTTCAATGAAGATGAACACCCTGTCTGAAAATCTGATGGTTCAAAATGTTAGGAAGAAAAACTGAGAGGTGAGGGTCTGTGACGATGGGAAGCTTGAAGTGAATGATGAAAAGGCTGGTATATCCTACTTACCTTATCAAACTGCTTCTCCAAGTACTTTCCCACACAGTTTTCAGATAGCCTTCTCCTTATGGTACCCCCATTAGAACTGTCCATCTGGCAGTACTCAGGTTGTGGGCTTTTTTTCTGGAAGAACTAGACTTTTGGAATGGCTTACCAAAATAGGTCCATATGGGCACCTTACATAAGAACACAAGAGAACCCAATGCTGGATGAGTCCAGTGGCCCATCCAGTCCAACACTCTGTCACACAGTGGCCAAAAATACCAGGTGCCATCAGGAGGTCCATCAGTGGGGCCACCTTTACTTCTGCATTCAGTAAAAATAATGTCACTTCAAAGGACATTTGGTGGAGGATAAATTGTTTTGGCAGACTGGCTGTGCTGTTTTTATCTTGCAGGCCATTTCTATATATTAGCAGCACTGCTTTGTTAGCTGCC